TGTCTGCCCTGTCGCGCTAACTAGTCCAGTGTGACAAACAAACTTTCTCCCCTGTTTTCATTTCGTCTGACGACGGGTTGGTGTCACCAGCTCGAAAATTCACGAGTACAACTCGATTTTTCCGAAGAACCTCTTCCTGTTTTCATATACATATATATATATATATATATCGAATAACAGAAAAGTGAAAGTCAAAGCCGTGGCCTGGCGAGGAGGCGTGTGCGGCCAACAAGGAGAGTTTATCCTTGCGTCTCACAGTCAACTCATCTTCGTGCAATCTCGTGTGAACCTGTTTTCTGGTTTCACCAACATAATCGGCTTGACGACAGATGCAGTCTATCCGATAAATGACTCCCGATTTCTGATTGATGAGAGTCGGGTCCTTAGGGTACATGAGTTGCCGGCGAATTGTTGCTTCAGGTCTGTGAGCGACGCCAGTCCCAAATTCGCTCAGCAGTCTAGCGAATTCTTCTGAAACACCAACTATTACGGTACTGCCCGGTAGCATTTCGGTTTTGGTTGTCGCTTCGGTTTTCTTCCCCAGGTTTCTCGTCTGCACTTTTCAACAAGTGGCTGTTCCAGCGTCTGAACTTTCTAACTCGCAGTTCTGAAACAAGCAGTCATTTAGCCGAAAGATTCATTGAAATTTTGCAAGGTATTCGACTCATGCATGATTAAATTTTTGCTTTGGTGGGGTCCACGGTGAGAGGCGTATAATTTAATCTATCTTCTAAGGACGATAGCATCTTGTTATTGTAGTCTGCTTTGTTTAAAACTGCAGTTGAGCCTCCTTTGTCTGCAGGAAGAATGACTTTTCAGTTTTCAGGGTCTTCAATGCCTTTATTTCCTCACGTGCACAGAAGAACTTTTATTATCCTTCGACATCGATGTTCCTGTACCTGCTGGACTACCGGAAGTTCACAACCCTGACGTATCACTGCGACCAATAGTATCATTAATCAACGCACTGAATTACATGATTTCTAACTAAATATTCCATAAACTCCATCCCTTAACAAAGGATTGTGAAACTTCAATCGAGAATTCTATTAAATTCCTAGACAAAATACGAGGACTCACTATTGATACGGATGAGATAATGCCGTCGTTCGATGTTGTCTCTCAATTCACGGCCATACCACTCGATTTAGCATAGCAGAATAACTCTTACAATCTTACGACATCGATGTTCCTGCATCTGATTTGCGTGAGCTCTTGGACTTATGTCTGGAAACGAACATTGCATTCTCACATGAACATTATCGACAGCTGAAAGGAGCTCTTATGGGGTCATCTATTTATGGCTCTTTTGCCGAGGCCACAATGCAAAAATTAGGAGCTGTGGCCCTACCATTATCCGATCCCAAATTATGGGTACGCTACATAGATGACACTATTGTCATCGTCAAGAGGGATCAGCTGGAAATGCTGCATAACGTTATCAACTCAACACTACCGGGAATCACCTTCACGCTTGAAAAAGAAGTCGACAGCACACTCCCATTTCTTCGTGTCTTCGTACAGCGAGAAACTGACGGAACATTCCGCACATCAGTAAACCGCAAAGAAGCTTATGCGGAATGTATCCTACATTCCGAGAGCAATCACCCTATCGCTCACAAACGGGGTGCTGTTGACACCCTACTTAATCGAGAAAAGACACACTACTCTGAGAACGAAGGGTACAAGATAGAACTCAGTTATACGTTCAACCTATTTTTTCCAAAACGGCTACTCTAGAGATCTTGTACGCCGATGAATGAGTTAGCAGAAATCAAAGGAAAGAGATAAGGAACTGGATTGTGCCGATCAGGTGCCAAAACCAAAAAAATTGGCGAACGCATCCTTACATTCAAAATGTGTCTGAATTCAGTGAAAGACACCTGAGGAAACACCAAATACAACCAACAGCAGCGCAGCGGTGCATGATATAGACGGAATGATATTACTGACAAATACAAGGGAGACCGGAGTGGGTATGACTGGCTGACGGACGGTTAATAACCAGAAATGGCCATTCCAGTCTCCCTTGTCCTTGTCGGTAATAACATACTGCCTATATCATGCGCCACTGTCCGGCTGCTGGTTGGGCTCGAGAGAGAGCCCATAAGGCAGAACGGGGCGAGTGAGTTCCCTAGAAATGGTCGGTTAGTGCCTCCCTACCATATGCTCCTAGCTTTCCCGAACGAAGCTTAAATTGGTTAAATAATGTCTGGCTGGGTAACTGTTAACCAATGAATTTGGAGATTGGGCGCACACTGTAGACCTAATTATTAAAGGCATTTGTCACTGAATTCTGTATAACCTTCGAATCAGCCATGAGAACTTGATTGAAAGATATTGCCCTCTCAAGAAACATCCAACTGGAAACAGACCGAAATGGCTGGCAACAGCGGTTAAGAAGTAGATACGAAAAATCGCAAGCTGTTGTAAATCTTCTTACAAACGGGGAGCGCAGAAGACTTCCAAGAATTAAGACAGCAACACAACTTATGCGGACGACTCCTCCGCGAATTACTTATTTCTTTTGGGTTGAATCTCCTGAAAGAGGCACAGCAAAAACCTAGGGCATTTTATGCATACATCAGGAGCAATACGAAATACCATGGCCCTCTCACAACATTAAAGGACAAAAATAACCAAATTGTGAGTGATGGCTTTTAAAAAGCCGAGTTTCTATTAGAATTTTTTCAAAGTGTCTATATCATAGAACCACCCGTCTAGTCCTGTCCTCTGCCACAGATCGTTAAATAACCACTTATAAACGCAGTATTAATGCAATAGTAGGGAAAATGCGATTCCCAGGTGGCATATCAAAAGAAAAGGAGGCGTTCACTGGGAGAGATGTATTGAAGGTCTGATGTTTCAAGTAGTCGCTTCTTCTACGACAAAATTAGGGCGGTCACGATCGAACCGAATGAGAGGATGGTGTCATTTTACGTCGTCCCACTCTTCACGTCCATACCACAGGTCCTTGCGGTCGAGACGTCTAGTGACCTGCTACGTCAGAATTACAACGAGGGCTATGGCAAACTCATAGCTTAGGATCCCATAGAATTCATGGGGCATTGCCTCAAGACATTTGTACCTTCGAGGGGATCACATATGAACAAATTAAGGGCACTCGGATGGGTTCACCAATCTCCGGGCTCATGGTCGAGGCGGTTCTGCAAAAACTCGAGAAGCGACCATTCAAGGAATACAAACCTAAGTTTTGGGCACGCTACGTTGATGATACCTTCGTAATCGTCGATCAGGATAAAATTAACTACTATGAAGAGCTGCTGAGCTCAATCACTCCGACCTACAGTTCACGATGGAAGAAGAAGTGGAGAGCAAACTTTCATTCTTGGCTGTTCTCGTCTGCCGCCAATCAGACGGCAAACTGGCGACGTCCGTCTACAGAAACCCGACGAACACGCTGCAAATGCTCAGTTACAACAGTAACCACCCACTGTAACACAAACGAAGCTGTGTACGCACGCTATACTGACGGGTGGAAACTCATTGCAGCACTCCAGTCGCCAAAATGGACGAGATGATGCTCCTTCAAGAACTCTTCAGAGCCAAAGGCTATCCGCGAACATTCTTTGAACAGAGCCGAAAGCAACCAAGGAAGCGGAATGAAGAACCTAGTCAGCCAAAATCGTGGCGGAACATTCTATACTTGAAAGGCATCTCTGAAGCCGTAGCCAGATCTCTCGCGCCTCTGGGAATAGGCGTTGCCCTCAGACCCGATTTAACAATCCGCCGGCAAGTGATGCGGCCAAAAGACCCGATCTCTAAGCAGATGTCGGCTGTTGTCTACCGACTTCAGTGCAGCTGCGGAATGTGTAACTACGTTGGGGAAACCGGCCGACGGCTGCAAACGCGCATGCAGGAGCATAAGTTGGCCGTGCGAAGGCTGGACCCAAAGTGGGAGGTAGCAACCCATGCCATCCAAATGGGACACGTCTTTAACTTTGACGCCGTTGGAATTGTGGGCCGAGGTGATGATCCTACGACAGGCAGGTGCAAGAAACCTGGATTTCTACCGACTGTTCTGTCAACCGCCACATCAATTTGCCTCCCCCTATCTGGTTTTACGAACATTCTTGATGGGGGAACGGTATAATTCGGTTTTCCTACTAAAATAAAGCCGGAAGAAGACATAATTTCCTACCAAATGAGCAAAAGAATGAATATCTTTATGCATGTTTTCCGTAAAATATAATTACATTTTCAGGTGCATCGAAAGTCAATGAGAAAAATGCATACCAGTTAAGTAGCCATTTTTTGCAAGGTGCGGCTTTTATATGCGGCCAGAAAGATGTTTGTTCAAAAGCCGGCATCTCGAGGTAGCTGAATTATTATAGAAATATGCTGCATGACGATAAAGTTTACAGCCCTATTTAAGTAATCTTTTTGAAACGAAAACGCATTTCAGAATATCGTTTAACATTTAGTGAGTTAGCACACCTATTGTAGATGTCCTTTGCTTTGATTTCAGTAAGACGTTTGAGGGCGTTCCACATATGCGCCTCCTTCAATAGTTGTCAGGCGTAGGAATAAGGCAGTCTTCTGAACTGGATTCAAGATTTCCTGAACGGTCGTAGACAAAAAGTCATAGCGGGTGGCCACTGCTCAGAATGGGCGCCTGTTAAAAGTGTATTCCCACAAAAGTCAGTTATTGTGTCGCTCCTATTTATTATCTATATAAATGATCCAGTACGGGAAGTGAAATCGGACATAGCGCTGTTTGTAGACGATCTTAAACTTTGGAGGGTGATAGAAGGTAAAAAAGACGTCAAGATACTACAAGTGGACGTAGGGGATTTGCACACAAGGTGCAAAACTGATGCATGAAATTCAACGTCAAAAAGTGTGTGGTAATGCATATAGCATCAGGAAGACGAAGAACAAATGCATTCTCACGAAAATATCTTCCCGACAATCAACTACTTGAAACCCTAGATGTGCAAAAAAACCTTGGCATATTAATGAAAGACGACTTAAGCGTCACCACTCGGTGTTTTAAAGTCGCAGCGCGGGCACTGTCAATCATGAGTGCGATACGGAGAACGTTTGATTACTTGAATGCAGATATCTCTGGCGAGGTATACGGGACGTTTGTGCGGTTGCACCTGGAATATGCGGCTTGGCGGCTGAAGCTTCAGAAGGATATAGATATTCTTGAAAGTGCACAGCGACGGGTTTCAAAGACTGTTTATGAACTCAAGAGTATTACGTACAAGCAGCGCCTGTCGGCCTAGAATCTCTTTCTCCGCCACTACAGACAGGACAGGAGTGAACTCATAACAATCTTTCAGTTTGTAAGAGGACTTGATCTGGATGTCAACTGGGAAACTATTTTTCGAATGGATCATAGACTCATCTTATACGACAGGATTACCAGCTTAAAAACGAACTTGGCCACACAAATCACCGTTCCTTCTTTTTCTCACAGTGTCATTCGCCAGTGGAATTCTTTGCCGACGTATGCTGTGAATTCCAGACCGTGAGTGTGTTCAAGAGACATCTGGATAATCACCTGCTGAAAAGCAACTCGAACTCCCCAGGTCCGATCTAATAGATTACAGAAATGACTAAAAACATACAACTAACATGAATTCAACAAGTACTTTTGTGTGCATTACCTTAACCCAGGTAAGTATTTTCCCAGCGCGAATGCAATGAACGATTTGTCCGCCGTTCTTTCGCACATGCCATGCCTTTTTCACAATTATGTTCCATCGTTACATTAATGTACTCTGCACACTAAAGTTACATGTAAGATTTGGGCAATTTAACTATTTTCATTCACACCTGTAGCGTTTAAATGGAGTTTTAAGGGCTTCTACCTTTTACTCCAAATATACTGATTGACTGATAATTTACTCAGCACAACCTCCAACTATGCCATTCTCCTATATAGCTTAAGTTGTCATATTCTAGCTGACTGTCATTTTAAGTAGCGGTACTGATGCTGAGGACGGAACACACCCGACTCGACAAAGCACTCAAGAGTAGTTTCTTGACTATAGAACCGCTGAACTGAGTCGTCAAGCATCACGTAAAACACGCTAATATGAATATAAAAAGAAAAGAGTTCGAAACGTATGAAATCTGTTTTACCAGAGGTAGGTAGATTGCGTCGTAAAGAAAGGACACAACAATACTAAGGGGAATGACGTTACGTACAACTGATCCATCTGCTGTTCGAGTTGGTCTCGACGTGGCCACTAGACTACCGGGGGCAACTGCAGGGAAGGGTCATGGAGATATGCCGAAGGCAGAGAGAATGCGAACAATGAGCAAGTGTGAGAGGTGTCAGCGGTAGGAAGGGGGACACTGGATATCCTCGGTCCATTTAGACAACTCGGTCAGATCCGGGATAAGTTACCCAGCGTCCTCCTGAGGTGCAGCACTCTTTCCAGTGCTGTTAGAGCTGGTGCCCGAAGGTGGTGTGTGCTATTCTTCCCCATCCAACCGCTGCCACCAATGTAACGTCCCGTTTGCTCCTCGTCTCATCAAACCTGATCGATATTGTCGGAATCCGGCGTTTCAGCAGAACTTGTAGCCGGTCTTTCGGTATAACCACCCTCTAGAGCAGACATGTTATTATCTCTTTTGACAGGCATTTGATCACAATCCATCATTCATACAGTCAGTTATACATCAATGTGGATTGAGACGAACATTTACTAACCAACGAGGGCTAATGAAAAAGATAAGTGAGCGTAAGTAAACGACGGTGACGAGGTCAAAAGGGGGTTACGGTGATGGGTATTGGCGTTGATACAACGACTATTCGGTATCTTATTCGATAGAGTTGGTCTGATTGTCGGTATCTCGGGTGCAGGCCAATATTTGAAAACAAAGGTCTTTAATTAGGAATTAAAAGTAACCAACCGGCCTAACCAGTCGGCAGTTAGATGAGGTCGGTATGCATTGCCTGGTTAAACACACTGACAGCTGCACGCGTCCAATGCATTCCTTGTCAGAGTCAGTGATTACCCCCTTACGCAAGACTCCCGTTTGGCACTAAGGTACTCATTGGCCTTAACGTGCTGATGACTCACGCAGCGGACGAAGGCACTGAAAGTAGCATACACACCGGCTAAAGGGAAGCACACAGGAAAATTCCTGGCGGCACTGTACCCATCCAGGCGACAAGGTAGAGGAATTTTAGGAACACTAATGCGGGTATAATAGGAATAGAGGGGAATTTAAACATATAGTAATAGTCAGTGGTACAAAGAAGGGTGAGTCACATCAGGAAGGCGATTGATCTGGATGAGGAGGTGACGTCAACGTGCCTGCTAAAGAACTGGTGGTGAGTGCGGCACCGTGGACACCTGCGGGGAGGGCCGTGGAAGATGCCGACGTAGAGAGTGAGTAGAGCGAGCGCTGTGACTAGTGTTACAGGAGGGGAATCGGCGGTTGCCTGAGGAAAGGGCACTGGCTGTTTCTACCAACACACATTTACACTAGCCTCATCCTCGACCTGCAAGAAGTGTTTACTTCATTCAAACAAGTCAGCCAGTTCGTGGGGTGTTGCATCATGAAACCCCACCAGCACGCTTTAAATCGCTCGTGCTCTCCCACACGACAAAGTCCGCTCACCAAAACCTTCCTATTTTACTTACGTTTAGGAAATGCGCTATTGGAGTTTTGGCGAGACAAGGAAATAATTATCCCCTAGCATTAACTGTGATTGTACTAATCATTCCGGAAAGGGCAAATATTTCCGTGCCCTAGCCCTAACCTTTAAATTAACTCTAACGTTAAATGTGGCCCTCACTATACCCCTATCCTTACCTTAAAAGTTTGCTTAAATCTGGCCACAACATTAACGTTAATCTTCCTGGAAATTAGCACACAGTCTCTGGACGGAGACGACACTTGTTCCGGTGTCTTGCCGGTTTTTCACGGAGAAATTGGTGACCACTATAATTTCCATCTCTTCCAACCTTGCACTTACTTTTACTTCAATCTGTTGGCATCAATATTGGTTTCGTCGGTTTAAGAGTACATAGTGGCACAAAAAGCGTTTAGTTTTGGTGGGCCAAAATACACCTGTAAGATTAGGCACGACTTTAGCTGACATTGTTCAACTCGTCCTAAGCCAAGACCTATCCGCGGTGCCCCACTTTAACCCGTGTGGACTATTTCCAAGTCCTCGGCCGCTACAAAGCAGCAACCTCGTGGCTAATTTGTTTTTTATCATTTGACGGACCTGGACATGGTTCACTTACGCCAGAGGACATACCGGTTTACATACAGCATTAGTGACTCCCTCTCGTTCACAACGCCTTCATTTTCATATATGTGCTTGAACATTTTCGTGCGGATAGCGTTATTCTAACCAGGTCTTATTTGTTATCTACGTCGCCTCATCTTCTCAACCGATACCAGTGCTGTATTTAACCGTCAGTGTCCAACAACCAGTCGTCTAACTTAATTATCTGACGTCTAACCGACATTGCTTAATAATGACCAGCGAAACTACCAGTCCGCTGATAACTTCGTGGACACTGATGCCGACACCAATCTAATTCCACCCTCCCAGACAGACCGTAAGTCAGCTGGGTTTTCGGTTTTTCCCCATACAGTTAAGGATACCTGTTGGGAGTGCCTACACTCCCAAAAACAAGAGCAAACCAATCAATGGAGACCACGTACATTTGCTCTCTCTCTACAGCGCTGTCATCTCAATCAGGCGCCTTCCCTTTGGCTACTCCCCTCTTCCCGAAGGTCATTGGACCGAATGCCGGCGAACCACGCTAGCGTGTGATAAATATGCGTCACCCTTAGCTAGACATGACTTGCAGTGTTTTGTTAATACACGTTCCGTGGCCAGCCGTGTGTTCTTTGTCTGCTGCCTTGATATTGGGGACCAGGGTCGAGTGCGCATACGCTCCACGGGATTTCACGTACCAGGCGGGTCATAACAAATTGGCGACGCAGTCTTTCAACTACAATGGCTGACGAGTACGCAGACTTGAAGCAGATGTTGCAGCCGCAGCTGAAGCTAATGGAGGCCCTCACCGTTAAGCTGTCCGACTCGTCCATGGGTCAATAAAGCACGGCAGGTGGTTCGCAATCTGTTGATCACATTGCCGGCAGCATCACCGAATTCTTGTATGACCCGCAGGCCCATATCACCTTTGATTCCTGGTACAAGCGATACGAGGACTTGTTCTCTGTTGATCTGGCTGCCCAGGACGATGCATGGAAGGTCCGACTTCTACTTCGCAAACTGGGTGCGGCTGAACACGAGCGTTATGCCAACTTCATCCTCCACAAGAATCCCCGAGAAGTCACTTTCAAGGACACGGTTCAGACGTTGTCGCAGACTTTTGGTGAGCAATCATCCCTCTTCAACACTCGATTTCAGTGCCTGCAGCTGAGCAAACGAGATTCCGATGATTTCATCACATATGCGGGCACTGTTAATCGTGAGTGTGGGCGTTTTCAACTCGGTTCTCTCACTGAAGACCAGTTTAAATGCCTCATATTTATCTGCGGCCTCCAGTCCCCCAAGAATGCTGATATCCGGACACGTCTCCTGTCCAAAGTGCAGCAGAGCAACTCTATCACACTCCAAGAGCTGGCAGCAGAGTGCCAAACGCTGATAAATCTCAAGCTCGACTCTGCAATGATTCAGAACCCTGTCTCATCATTCTCAGTCCATACGGTCACATCGACCAAATCGCATCCTGTTACACGACCCAAACAAATGTCCAAGGCGAGATCCCCGCCATCTCCTTTTCGGCACTGTGGCGCGTGGCATTTCCACCGGGATTGCGCGTTCCGCCAGCATCGCTGCCAAAGCTGTAATCAGGTGGGACACCGTGATGGGGTCTGCAAATCAGTACCAGCTTCTGGAGGCAAGCCAGCCCCCGCCACTCCTAATTCCAGGCACCGTTTTCGGCCTAAACGCAAGCCCAAACCCCAGTCCGTTGGTAGTTCTCTCAGTCCCTTGGCCGCTTTCCAGCTCAATGCGTCTGGTCGCAGAAAGTTTGTTGACGTTTTGCCCAACGGCCATGCAGTTCGTCTACAGTTGGACACTGCCTCAGATATCACCATCATCTCTGAGAGACTCTGGCAGCCCCTTGGCAGCCCCACGATGCAGCAGACTTCCCAGTCCGCCATAAGCGCGTGCGGTGGTCTCATGCAGCTAATTGGGCAGCTGCAATGTTGTGTGTCGTTCCGCGGTACCAGCATCACTGCGATCTGCTACATCACCAGGTCTGATCTAAACCTACTTGGTCTCGACTGGATTGAACAACTTGGGTTGGCCGATATGCCGCTCCGCGTTGTTTGCAGTCGGGTGCAGATTTCCGCTGTGCTTGCAGACCAAGCCAAGGACATTCTCCAACGGTTTGCTCCAGTGTTCCAAGACGGCCTGGGTCGTTGCACATACACTCAAGCCGTGCTACATCTGTCTCCTGGAAGTCAACCAGTCTTCCGTCCAACGCGGCCAGTCCCATATGCAGCCCTACCACTTGTCGAGGCTGAATTGAAGCGTCTAGAGGAACTGGGAGTTCTGGTTCCTGTATCCTTCTCCGCCTGGGCCGCTCCAATCGTTGTGGTTAAGAAGGCCAATGGCTCGGTCCGCATTTGTGCTGACTTCTCCGCCGGTCTCAATGCCGCGCTGACGCCGAACTGCCATCCATTACCGGTTCCGGCTGATCTTTTTACCCTGCTAAATGGTGGCACATGCTTTGCCAAGTTGGATCTCGCTGAAGCGTATCTGCAGATCGAGTTGCGCGAATTGTTGAACATCAACACCCACCGCGGTCTGTTCCAATACACCAGGCTGCCCTTTGGTGTCAAGACCGCCCCGGCCCTATTCCAACAAACGATGAACGCAATGCTCTCCGGCATCCCTGGCACAGCTGGGTACCTGGACGACATCATCATCCTGGGTCGCTCCCCTGTCGAGCTGCAAGACCGAGTGTGCGCAGTACTCGAACGCGTGCAGGAATATGGCTTTCGCCTACGAGCCGACAAGTGCCAATTCTTCCTCGACTCCATCAAGTACCTTAGATTCATTTTTGACGTCACTGGTCGTCATCCAGATCCTGAAGACATTCGGGCCATCCAACGGATGCCTGCACCCAAGAATGTATCGCAACTTCGTTCGTTCCTTGGGCTGATCAGTTACTATAGCGCCTTCCTACCAACGCTCCATGACGTGCGGGCCCCGCTCAACCGTCTGTTGCAGAAGGATGCTCCCTGATGCTGGTCCCCCGACTGTGAAAAGGCCTTCGCCCAGCTAAAGTCGATGCTGAGTTCAGATCTGCTGCTCACGCACTACGACCCGACGCTGCCGATCGTTGTTGCTGCAGATGCTTCCAACCACGGAGTTGGTGCCGTCATCTCACATACTTTTCCTGATGGGTCTGAAAAGGCGATCATGCATGCATCTCGCACGCTTACCCCTGCGGAGAAGAACTATGGGCAAATAGAGAAAGAAGCTCTAGCCCTCCTGTTTGCCGTCAAGAAATTTCACAAACTGTTGTACGGTCGCCACTTCACGTTGTTGACGGATCACAAACCATTGTTGTCAATCTTCGGTTCGAAGAAGGGCATTCCCGTCTACTCAGCCAGCCGACTTCAGCGATGGGCAACCATCCTTCTTGGCTACGACTTCGACATTCGCTACTGTCGTACTACAGACTTTGGTCAGGCTGACGCCCTTTCTCGCCTCATCAGCAATCAGCAGGAACCGGAGGAAGATACCGGGATTGCAGCTATTTCGATTGAGGACGGTGTGCGCCGTCAGGTATCAGACGCCATACGAGGTATCCCTGTCACTGCCGCGGACATCCGACGTGCTACTGAACAGGATCCTGTCCTCCGCCAGGCCATCACCTACGTGCAGACCTGCTGGCCAACCACTGCTCTCGCTGGCGATCTTCGCCAGCTCTTCCTCCGCCGAGCATCGCTATCTGTGGTTGACTCCTGCCTCATGTTTGCAGACCGTGTGGCGATCCCATCTTCCCTCCGACCCACTGTACTACGCCAGTTCCATGCGGCTCATCCTGGTACCAGCCGAATGAAGTCAATTGCTCGCAGTTTTGCCTACTGGCCGGGTATCGACGGCGACATCGACGACCTGGTTCGACGCTGTTCTCGATGTCAGCAAGCTGCCAAGATGCCGCCTCGTCAACCGCCAGTACCCTGGGAACCACAAGAGAGGCCTTGGTCACGCGTGTACATCGACTTCGCTGGCCCACTTAACGGAGTCTCCTACCTAATCTTGGTTGACGCCTACTCGAAGTGGCCCGAGATTGCTCCGCTGAATCCAGCGACCGCATCTGCCACTACCGCCTTCCTACGACGCATCTTTAGCCAACATGGCTTACCGGAGGTCGTGGTTTCAGACAATGGCTCTCAGTTTACTTCGTCGACCTTTGAGGATTTCTGCCGCCAGCACAACATCCAGCATCTTCGCTCCCCGCCATACCATCCTCAGTCTTACGGTCAGGCTGAGCGTTTTGTCGACACGTTTAAGAGAGCCCTCTTGAAAGCTCGTGGGGAGGGGATCACGGACGAGATTGTCCAGGCATTCCTGTTTTCCTACAGAACAACACCGAACCCGGCGTCCCCTGGTGGCGTTTCTCCTGCCGAAGCGTTGATGGGCCGAAAACTGCGTACAACGTTTCATGCCCTCGTCCCTAACGGTGCGCAGCCCGCGCAGACTTCTCCAGTTTCTCGCAGCAAGCTCTCCATCGGAACACCTGTCTTCATTCGTGATTATCGAGCGGGGTTCCCAGACTGTATTGAAGCAACCGTAGTATCGCACAGAGGCCGTATGTTGTTTGACGTCGACGTTGGTGATGACATCTGTGTTCGCCACCACAACCAGATCCGACGGCGACATAGCAGTAACACAACTGGGCTCGATTCGGCGCCGTCACTCTCTCTTGACATCCTACTGGGTACCTTCGCCATTCCGGCAGATCGGTCGGTTCCCCAGCCCACTGATGCGCCTCCTTCGGATGTACCGCCTTCGGTATCAGTCACTGCACCCGGGTCTTCAGACGACAAACCACAACTAAGACGCCGGACCAACCGCGTGCGCCGATCAACACTGACGATACAGATCAATCCACGCCAAAAGCGGTACTGACCCACTTGGAGGGGAGGTGTTGGGAGTGCCTACACTCCCAAAAACAAGAGCAAACCAATCAATGGAGATCACGTGCATTTGCTCTCTCTCTACAGCGCTGTCATCTCAATCAGGCGCCTTCCCTTTGGCTACTCCCCTCTTCCCGAAGGTCATTGGACCGAATGCCGGCGAACCACGCTAGCGTGTGATAAATATGCGTCACCCTTAGCTAGACATGACTTGCAGTGTTTTGTTAATACACGTTCCGTGGCCAGCCGTGTGTTCTTTGTCTGCTGCCTTGATATTGGGGACCAGGGTCGAGTGCGCATACGCTCCACGCGATTTCACTTACCAGGCGGGTCATAACACTACCCCCATTAAGACAGTTGATTAGCGGTCGGCATCGTCAGACTTTGCGTGCGACACTCTTCACTGGATAGTTGCTATTGATGACACCCATACCGCCATTCTCGATGACGATTTCATATTCTTTTCCGGTCTCCTCTTTAATATCAGGTCTCACAAACTAGTTGATTCGATGACGTCCTTGTATTCTAAGTGTTTAACTCCTACCATTGAATACCCTAATCCATGCATTTCAGCAATCCCTTCGTCCACCCTGTATAATCTTTCGCTTTCTGAATTTTCGTCTATCACCCGACATTCACAGATTGGCCAGCCTATTATACATTCTGCCGTACACTATGTTTTTAATATAGAACCTCCCGTTTTTAGCCGTCCTCGTCGTTTGGCCGCCGATAAGTTAGCTATCGCCGAGGCTGGCTTCCGTCATATGTTGGAGCGAGGCGCAGTGCGGACCTCCACTAGTCCATGGGCTGTCCGTCTGCTTATGTTTTGCAAAAAGTCTCTCATTAACTGACGTCCATGCGACGACTGAACAAATGCCCTGTCCCCGACAAATATCCGCTTTCACACCTCCATGATTTTCCTTTGCCTAACTGATGTGACAGGCGTTTCCAGCACTGACCAATCCAAAGCCTTCCATGAAGTCTCTGTTGCTCCAGAATACATCCTCAAGACGGCAGATATAACCCCCTTTGGTCTTTTTGGGTTCGCCGGGATGCCTTTTGGCATCCTTAACTCCACTCACACTCTTATAATTCTTCCTTATTGAAGTTGTCCACAAGTTACCCCTCGCTTTTTGTGTTGATGATCTTTTGGTTGTATGTTCCGTTGAATATGAACACCTACAACACCTAAGGCTCGTTTTTGAATAATTGGGCAAATTCGGCGTTTTTTTCAACGCCTGTAAATGCGTGTTTGTATTCCCTCGTTCTCGTTTCTACGACACCGCGTAGATTCTTTCGGTTATCATGGTCAGGAGTCAAATTTGTGACTATTAGAGTCTCCGACTCCAACATCTCTCCGAAAACTGCGCCGTTTTCCAGGCCTTAACAGTTTTTGCTGACGTTTCTTGCTTCACTGCGCTCAATTAGAATCACGCCTCGCTGATTTCTAACGAGGCAGCAACCGCGAGTTCCCTTTTCCTCACAGCCGTGTACGCCTTCCAACATGTCAACGAGACCCTCGCGAACAATATTCCTCTTTCTCACCCCCTAACTGATGCCTCGGTCCCCATTATGTCCGACCATTATTACATCGTTATCCCATCCAGAACGTTATTCTTCTAACATTTGATATGTGAATTGTGTGTGTCGATTATTGTGACATCCATTACTCAGTCACCGTAGGTCGTAACGGTTGCCTTCTCCACTCCGTCGGACAAGGTTTTATCCATGGAGGCCAGCAATCTCGATTTTCTTTCCCAGTACACTACACATATTCGATTTCGTTAGGCACTTTTTAATTAAATCGCCGACTACCTTTCGCGACCTGCAATTAGTGCATTTATTCATTCCCCATCGACTTGGAGCACATGGCCAAACTGCAGAATGAGCTGACTTTTACTGAAAAACTTGGGCATACTGACTTTCAGACCAAAGGCATCTCTCTGTGCACCAAATGCTGCAAACTTTTATGTGACTTTTTGCGTTGCTTCTCTTCACCTATGGTACCAGATAAGATGCGGCAAGACGCTTTCAGCGCGTTGCCCAATCTTGCCTATCATGCATCTGGTTTACCCAGTGCCTCGTCAACGATCGTTTCGTCTGGTGTAACATTTACACTGATATCCACCAGTGGATGCGCTTATGCTTTGTCTGCCAGTAAGCCAAAATCGAGTAGCGCAAACAAGCTCACAGTGGCGCCTTTCTTGCACCCGACGCACGTTTGGCATATGTACACATAAATCTGGTAGGTCCTTTGCCAACAGCTCGTGGTTGTAACTGTTTGCCCAACTCATGTGATCAACCTGCACCGTGGCCCACCGCAACTTCCATTCCGAGTATGGCTTCAGATGCTGTTATTCGCGCGTTTCTGGGAAACTTGGTCTCCAATTGTAGTGTCCCCTAAAGTATTACCACCGACCGTGGCCAGAAATTAGAATATAGACTTGTAAAGGTCTTACTGACCCCGCGGATGTGTACAGTAACCTGCCATCCCTCACTGAGTGCTTTGGTCGGGCTTTTTCACTGTTAACTGAAAGTCTCAGCGGGCCTATAACAATCGTATTTAGTGAAGCTAGCATCTACCATTGGTCATGCTCGATATCCAACTTGGAGTGCTCCTCTGCCGAACGTTTTTACTGCACTACTCTACGAATTCCTCGCGATTTTTTCGGGTCACATCAAAGCTTAGTTAACCGGAATGCTGTTGAATAATTCAAGGGGTTGCGTAAAGCGATGGCTAATCTCTGAGCCATGCCTTCATGTGTTCCAGTGAATAAATCGTGCCTACGTTTCTCCCGTGTTCTTCTTCATTTATCCGCGCAGGAAGCGTTCGTAAGCCACTATAACGGCCCTACGAAGGACAAATTTAAGTCGTATAGGGCCCGAACAAACATTTCAAGACCGTTCGTGGCGATCGCGTCGAGATGGTCTTAATCGGCCGCTTGAGGGTGGCTTATATCAGTTCTCTTTCGCCTCAACCACTGACCAAACAGCCTTCAGTACAGCATCCCGGTCCTTTCTGAGATTTACCCGCCCCTGCTTACAAAGAAAAACTTTACGCATTACTCTACATTCCCAAACCCACCCCCTGCGCAC